TAAGAAAATCTGGAAGAGAAAGAAAAGAAAAGAAATTTGAAGATTACGTTACTTACCTGAGTGCTGCAGATGGCAACAGCTGTTTTGAAGATTTTCCAGCTACGTTCTCACAGGCTATGGCTAGAAACGACAATGACAAATGGCGAAAGGCTATGCAAGAAGAGATGGATAATCTGGATGAAAATGAGACTTGGGAAGTTGTCGACTTACCCGAGAATGGCACAGTGGTTGAGTGTAAATGGGTTTATAAAGTGAAAAGTGATTCTGAAAATAATAAAAGCTATCGTGCAAGGTTGGTAGCAAAGGGTTTTACCCAAAGAGAAGGGGTGGACTATAGTGAAACCTTCTCACCAGTTGTTAGGTATTCTACACTTAGGTTACTAATGGCTTCGTCAGTAGATTTAGGTCTAGATGTAAGTCACTTGGATGTAACCACGGCCTTTTTGCATGGACACTTGGACGAAGTTGTTTACATGAGACAACCTGAGGGTTTTATTAAACCAGGTCATGAAAACAAAGTCTTGAGATTGAAACGTGCAATTTATGGGTTGAAACAGTCGTCACGTGTCTGGTATAAGAAGGTCGAGGATGTACTGTTGGGCTTAGGCTATAGTGAATCAAAGTTTGAACCTTGTGTTTTTATGAAACGTGTCAAGAATTTACTTACCGTAATTGCTCTTTATGTTGACGATTTTTTAATTTTCTCAAATGACATAGCTGAAACTAAAGATCTAAAAGAAAAATTGGCAAGTCATTTTAAATTAAAAGATTTGGGTCAAGCCAAACAGATTTTGGGTGTGAATGTGTATATTGACAAGAAAAATGGAGTCATAACTCTCGATCAGGGGAAGTATATTGATTCACTATTGACTCGATTCAACATGGTTCATTGTAAAACTGTTGAAACTCCCATGGAAAATGGTCTAAACTTGAATAAGGGTGACAAAAATTGTGATTCGTCATTACCTTATAGGCAGCTTATTGGTGGATTAATGTACCTGGCTGTCATGACTAGGCCTGATATTTCCTACTCAGTCAGCTATCTCAGTCAGTACAATAGTTGTTTTGATATCAGTCATTGGAAATCTGCTAAGAGAGTTTTAAGATATTTGCAGAAAACCAAGAATATTGGTCTCAAATATAAAAAGGGTTCTAGTGAATTGTTGGGTTTTGTAGACTCTGACTGGGGTAGCAACGTAGTTGATAGGAGGTCTTATACTGGCTTCTGTTTTAAATATTCAGATTGTGTTGTATCATGGGAAAGTACTAAGCAAAAGACAGTAGCACTGTCAACGACAGAAGCCGAGTATATGGCCTTGTCTGAAGCTTCGAAAGAAGCAGTTTACTTGAGAAATTTGCTAGGTGAGATTAAAGGCTCTTTTGATTGTGTTCAGCTTTATTGTGATAACCAAAGCTCAATCAAATTGTGTAATAATCCTGTATATCACAAGCGAACAAAGCACATAGATGTTCGACACCATTATATTAGAGATGTTGTTGCTAATAAGTTCATAAATCTTGAATATATACAAACAAGTGAAATGGTGGCTGACGTCTTGACTAAAGCTTTGCCTTCTGTTAAACATTATAAGTTTTTGAAGAGTCTTGGAATTGTTAATGACATATGATTGTATTTTTATTGTTTTACCTAGTGGGGGTGTTGATATTAGCTTAAAAAATAAAAAAATGATACATAGCGCGCCCTCTATAGTAGCAGTAGTATGTAGTATGTATACCTAGTCTTACTTTTGTCAGTATTGTCACCTGTCAGTCCTTGGAGACACGATTCTATGGAGACATGTTATTGTTTCCTAATAAAACAAAAGTAGTTCCTTTCGGACAGTTGAATAAGTCGGTGTTTTTTCTTTTTATTCTTAGTCAAAAATTGACGAAGATACAACGCTATGAAATATGCCTATGACGTCACTTATCATATAAATTAGTGACGTCGCACATGCTCAGTATACAGTAAGGGGCAAGCTACTAGGTATATAGGATGTACCCTGACGAATTTGCAGGCGTCCGCATATGCCATAAAATGACAAATGCGCGACATGACATTAGCGCTAACCTGGCGACAACCAGGTAAAAAGGAAACGTAAAAAACCTGTCGCTCAAAAAAACCCTTAAAGCCCATTTTACAATGGACGTAACGTAACCGTAAAGACGTAACATAAGTCCTAAGCATGCGCACATTAGATTTATTTGCGTCAAATATGTCACCGAAAACGCAACGTAAGAGATGACCAACTCGCATCTTCTCTTACGTTGCGTTTCCGGTGACACATTTGACGCAAATAAATCTAATGTGTGCATGCTTAGGACTTATGTGACGTCTTTACAGTTACGTTAAGTCCCTTGTAAAATGGGTTTGAGTGGGATTTATGAATTCCATAACGTATCCGTAACGCAACCGTAACACAGCAAAACGCAAGCATTTTAAAAATTACAATGTATACATTCCTTGCGTTAAGTTTGGCACATGCGTCGTAAATTGTTAAAAATCAGTGATTAATTGTTTTACGTTGTCTTTTTTGCTACCGAAGGCCTCAATTGTCCCAGCTTAGGTTTGCCTAGCATCCCGAAAGCATTTTCATTTTATAATTTTTGAAATGATTGGCTATGTTGAGCTTAACTGGTCCAAAATATTTGAATCTTTTGCAATAGCAAATAATACTTCCAGAAATTAGAAGAGATAGATAATAATAATAATAATAATAATAATAATAATAGCTGGTCCTAGATTCAACGAAACATGGTTTCAACAAGATGGTTGTCCAGCCCATAATACGTGTTTCATTCTGGGCTGTTTGAATAATACTTTTCCAAAATTCCAAAGCGTCTCATTGCTGGGTCAAGAGCTACAATACTGTGGCCAGCCCGCTCTGCCGGTCATGCACCCAAGGATTATTTGCTTTATTGCAAATTAAAAAATGTATGATGGTTTTCAAGAGGATCGCGCAGTGAAACTTGAGCAGCTGCGTTTCAAAATTCGAGAAGTAAGTCTATCTGTCACCCCGGTGATGTTAAATAATGTTTGTAGAGCCTTCTTTAAGAAGGTGGACTGTTTGAACATTTGCTCATTTGCTACATTAGATAGATTATCTGTTTAGAATTTTTGTTTTTATTTTACTTAATTTTTCTTCTATTTTGTATGTTGGAATATATTTTTAGTTTTTTGTGGACGGGTTTTTTGAAATAGATGTTTTCTTTTCATAGAATCGGAACAATACTAGTATTATTGTATCGATTCCAAAAAAATCTATTATTAACCAACGCTCGACGATACATCTAAAAGCGCGATCCAGCAGCATAAAGTTTTGTCTGCACAGTTCAACACGTGATCAGCAATCAGTGAAGTCTGGACCAGGCTTAAGTCTGTAAAATCATAAAACGTACTGATGTGAACAAACTCAAAGAATGTCAAAGTCGTCGAAAAAATGACAGCGACAGGTGTTCAAACGGCTGCGGACCGTCGGAAATTCGTCAAGTTGGATCCTATATACCTAGTAGCCTGCCCCTCACTGTATACAGTGTCATTACTTAAGTGTGCAACATATGGGATTTTTTTAAAGTAATAGCACAATCAAAATACAAACAAGGCCAAAAGTTGATGCATGTCTGATAATCATATTAGGTGCACTTAGAATGGTTGCAAGTCAAACATCATAGAGGGTGGCTCAAAAAATATCAAAATTCTACAAATATTTACTTAAATAAAATAAAACTTTTGCACTTTAAAGAGAGTTTTTTTAATATGGCTATTATCATTAGTATTGTTTTAACTTGTTAAAAAAAAAATTGCGACATTTCAAAGTTGTGTTGAATATCATTGCAACAAACATGAATTTTGTGATTCCATAAAAAATTAAAAATCTAAGTTAATTTTACAAATATGCTCGAATTTGAATAAAGTTATGTAAAATTGATTTGATTTAAATTAATTTTTGAAAGTCTTAAGGGCGGAAATAAAAAATAAAAAAAATATAGAAATTATAGATTTTTTTCGAAAGAAAATAAAAAAAATCTTAGGAGGCTATGTTTTTGTATTTAGGCATAACTTTTAATTCCAAACAACTTTTCTCTATAACATTTTGCTGAATTTTCTAAAATAAGGGTACTTTACAGTACCAGCTTTGATATTGTTTGAGCTACCCTGTATGCTGTTTGACTTGCAACCATTCTAAGTGCACCTAATATGATTATCAGACATGCACCAACTTTTGGCCTTGTTTGTATTTGGGTTGTGCTATTACTAAAAAAAAATCCCATATGTTGCACACTTAAAAAATCACACTGTATATATATACAAAACTTCACATTTGTATAACTTTCGGAATAATCATATTTGGGCGAAATAATAAAAAAAAGTAACGATTTTTTTTCGATTTCCTACAGTTTGCAATAAACAATAATCAATTTAATTTTCCATGCAAGTACCCTATTAGGATTGAGTGTTTCCTGTTTTTAGTTTATAATCGGTAGCTTCGTTTGACTGCAGGGAAGTAAAACAGGTGGCGCCTTTTTGATGTTTACCTACCCCAATCTCCGCTGTTGAGAGTTAGTCGGACACCCTAAAAACGAAGCTCCATTTGCTCGATGTTGGTTATTGGAGTACCTCAGCCACCTTTTTGTGTATTAATTAATAAATTAGGTTTGCCCAGTGCGCAACCTAACAGTAGGAAATGCAGTTGGCAGCACCAAGGGAGGCCGGTATTCTGGTCCTCGAAAACGCTCACCGCTTTTTAGTCGCTCGGCACTTCTTATGTAAATTAACATTAAAAGTGACGAGCTACTTAAATGCGGTGAGCGTTTTCGGGAACGAGAATACCAGCCCTGGGAAGTCAGGAAGCCTGAGCGTTCTAAGGCGCTGCGTTCAAGTCACAGTCCACTAGATAGGCAGATAGATGTTAGGCAAATTATATATTAAATCATTTATGGATTTGAGTGGAGATATGGACGAAGAAGAGGAGGTAGTGCGTCTTGGTAGAGTCATATCGGGACGATCTTATTTGAGAGGGAGCAGTGTTACGAAATCGCCTCGGCATCCCGGCGGGATTCTGAGAATGTATTTGTCTGCGTGTCGCGTAAAAAATTCGGAAAATTCTATTCAAGTAGTGCGCCATGTTTTTCTAGATAAATCCCGAGTACACAACAATAAAATTAATTCTAATAATAGTCAGTAATAGGATTTTTTATTAAAAAAATACATAGATAGGGTAATACAGCAGAAAAAACTAAAAATAATTCATTATAATAACAGGTACACCAGTAAAAATTTATAATTTCAGATATGCATGTAAAATACACATTTATACAACAGCCAAAACTGGTAAAGAGAAACTTGTTTACAGGAAACGATTAATATAGGTACGATTTTACAAGAAGGGACTCTTAATTCTACGACACTAATTTAGCTGTATATTGATTTTTGGTAAAAATGATCACATAGTGATTACCTACTCATAAAATTTAAGATGCCCACCCTTCAAAGTTTGGGCATAAGCATTATGAAATTAATGGGGTTCAAGAGTTATTTTCTTAAAACTAACAATTCTATCCAGATAAACATTGAATTATTTGAATTGACAACACGAAATGTGTTTATTGTTTATATCAAATGCAATATACACTTTATATCTTTCAATTAATAACGCGATTAAATTTAAGGTCTATTTTTCAAATATGTATTTCCATTTTTTCCATAAAAAGTTCAATTTTTACCTAATTTGAAGAATAAAAACTATTTACAAATGCGTAGTTATTTCCCTGTAATGATATTTTAAAGCTATATTCAAATGATTGATCTGGAAATCGAATCATCAAGAAACGAAAATGCCTTTTCTGCTTACTGCAGACAGATTTGATTTTAAAGCTTTTACATTTTTTCTTAAATTTTCACTTTATTTAGGAATTTGTTCATATTCGTGAGAACTTATTATCTAACTTATCTTTAACATTTAAATCTTCCAACATTGAAACTTCTTCTTCACACGTTGGTAAGTTTTGAGAATAATTGTGGGGTCTTGCGTGCGCTAATGACAAATCCAACTACAAGAGGACTTATTAGTTTCCTATACGAAATAAAAAAAATTTAAAGTGATTCGCTTACGTTATTTGTAGTCGTATTCATCGGATATCTTCCATGAACAAATGTCAAATTAGGAGCGTAGTGGCCGTTATTACCACTTTTGGGAACGGAATGTCTGGTACCATTGGAAATGAATAAATCCTTTGAACTATCTAAAATGTAATATATATTATTTATGCACTTATCTCAATTGAAATATTAAACTAAAAAAGAGTTAAGTAGGGGCTGGGCTTCGACTGATAGGAAGGGCAGTTTATTCACCGTCTGCAAGAGGTCCGGACAATGTGATAAATGTACAATTGTGTCCAAGATGTCAAAATAAAAAAATAAAAAAATCTTTAGTTTGTATACATAGATTCCTCGACTCCCAAAATAGTACTTTTTTGAGATCTGTATCTATTCCTTCAGGAAAACGAAGAAACTCACTTTTTCTTGGATCAGGATACAGTTCTTTGAATTCAACAGTTGTTTGACTATCCTAGCAAAAACTTTTCTCAAATCCAACAAGTGTCCGTCAAAATCTCTGTCAATCACCATGAGCAAAGCCATGAGATCATCCAGTTAACACTGACAACGTTATTTTAGTGAAGTTAGCAAATCTATCGTCAAATTGGACGACACAGTGTCTACTCATTCTCAGTGCTTGCTGCAGGCTGTCCGTATTCGTATCCTTACTCTATTGATGAAGTACTAGAGGTTTATTTGTTCAATGAAGTCTTTCGAAGATTGTCGTTATGCTAATCTGAATTTCACTACTAAACTCCTGCAGTGTCCCCGATGCATGCATCCTGTTCTTAATCTGGCTCAGATACTCTTGGACATTTGACATTTTTTTCTACCTCAGGAATATTCTTACGAATTTCTAATGCTTTCCTCCGAAATATCAGCATCCATGTTGTTGTTTTCTGCTTCACTGCAGAGGCGTACTCGTTCTCTTCATAGAGGATGACTGAATTAGGAGTATTGTTACACTGCGACTATATAGATCTTTTGTGTCCCCCTTCTAGTTATGTGCTTCAGTTGATAGCATTCTTACGTAGAGCGCCTCATCCAGCTTCTATAGATGGAATTACTTCCCGTCTAACAATGCAGCATCCGAAGCAGGCAATTCGTTTTTTCGCGATCGCCTCGCACCCCGTGAGAAGGAGTTCTGGAGTTTCCTTGTCTTCCTTACAGAACCGGCAACTCTCTTTGTTTTCGATTTTAATTCTCTTAAGGTGCCTCCTTAACCGCGGCAGTGGCCTGTAAGGAATCCAGTGAGAATGCGAATATTGTTTTCACTCAGTGATATAAGGTCTTTTGATCTCCTTTGGTGAGGGGGCCCAAGAAACATTTTTGATTGCTTTAACCCTGGAAGCTGTTCCTAGCGGCTGATCTATTTGTTCCGCTTTTCCTTTCTGAACTCTTTCTTATAGGTGGCTCTGGTCCTGAAAGCGGAGTTTGTGCTCCCAATTTCGCCAATTGGTCGTCTTTATTACCTGCGATTCCTGCGTGTCCCGGAATCTCAGTTTGTTTACCTTGTTCAGGCATTCCCAAACCATTCTGGAGCTGAATATTGGTGAGCTCAGCGCTTTGATGGCTGCTTCACTGTCTGAGAATATGACAATTTCTCTGTTTTTGTAGTTTCTGTCAAGATTGAACTCTACACATCTACTTATAGCGTTTATTTCCGCCTGAAATAAGTCTATGTGTTTTCCCATTACTTCGGAGAACTTGATTCCAGGATCCGATCTCTTGTTCAATTCTTGGCCCATCTAGATACCATTTTATGACGTTCTGCTGCATTATAAGAATGGATGTGGTGTTTACTGTCCATGTAACAAAATCAATAACAAATTTATATTCTCGGTTCAAATTCATTATTCGTGGGAACTGGAGTAATCGCCGGAAAATTAAGTCGTAAAGTCTCAACGAGTTCTCGATGCGTTCCCCATCCGCTAGTTCATCTGCCGCCCGTGGTGTTTTAGTGAAAGCTCTCCAAAGAGGTGATAGTTTTTTTTTTTTTTTCTAATTTCAATTTCCAATAAAGTCTCAGATTTTGAACTAAACCTTTTAATTGGGAAATTATTCTCTTTTCTTTCAATTGTCTCAATTTTTCTTCAGTTAAAAATTGTTGATGGTCTAGTAATTGAATAAGGTATTTTAGTTTTATTTTTATGTTCTACCTTACCTTTTTTTATTTTTAAATAATTAACTTTTCTTTTCACTCTTAAATAAACATAATTTTAATCTTTCAAAATTTTTCTGGTTTTAAAATTCCCATTAAAACACTGGTGGTGGCGTAAAAAGATCTGCTGGTTTGTGCGGTTAGAGGTTTCCAGCTTCAGCAGAAAAGTGGTGAGTGGTACTAATTTTGAGTCTCGATTAACACCTTTCAATAACCACTCCAAGAAAAGAAGAAAGAAGACTTCGTTCAGATTGCATCCGGTTCAGAAAACTGTTATTTACTGCTTCAGATCAAATTTACTTTTCAGCATAATTAACCACGAAATTTTAAGATGTGACAGAATTATTCACGCTACCAAAATATCGATAACATCTCAATTTTGTCACATCCATGACTACTGGGATTGTGAAGCGTTTCCCAAAATTATATGTGTTGATTATATCATCCCAGCAAGAACTCGAGGAGTGGAATGAGCTTGCTTAGAGATGCTAATTCTTTCCTTCCAAGCCGACCTCCCTCTTCAGCCCTTTTTCTCTCGTGAGACATTGCTCGTCTAGCGATCCCTTCACCACCATGTGAAGAGGTGCGAGACCTACAATTTTCTCGATGGCTGCTGTTGAACAAGTTTTCATTGCGCTCGTGATGCATGTGCACGCCAAGCCCTGTAATTTGGGCTTTTATGTTCTGCTTTTCAACTTCTTCGAACCAGACATCGATCCATAGTCGCGAGAAGTGCGGAAGCAGCAGAACCTAAACGTTTTGACGGATCTTTAGTGGTTTTTATCGCGAGAAATAGATTGTGATTGGTATCCAACCAAAGCTTATAGTTTCGCCTATTGAGTCGTAGAGTTGGTTTTTGAGTTTCTTGTGATCTGTGCGCGTAGTTTCGAAAGTTAGTGTATCCATTGGTCAAAGGCATTTATAAATAAATGGTAACAAAATATCAAAATATTTATTGCCTCATTTGCATATCAATGGTCAATTTGCATATCGATTCGTCGCTTGCGAATGTCTACAAAAACTTAATTGTTTACACTTGGGCCATATAAATATATTCAGCTACGAGGGTAGCTCAACAACAAACTTAAATTATAAACAAAGTTACATATAACCGCAATGATGTCTCTAAAAACACCAACAAGAGGCATCTGCATTAAATGCAATTCGACATGCGTGTTTAGAGCTAGAAATGAAAAAACCGACGGGGATGGACCTGATGAACTGTTTGGTCATCCATGCGACGGATGTAAGACCATTCTGTGCAAGAAGTGTGAGAAGTGGAGTATTACGGAAATTCGTTTTATTCAAACAATTTCTAGAAAATTGCCATTTTTTTGTAGTGATTGCACGAAGGCGAAAACTGGTTCATTTGTGCAGCAACTTGAAAAAATTAACACCGACAATAAATGCAAGCAAGACCACATGGAAAAAATGGAAAAAATCATAGACCAGCAACGCAAAGAAATTGCTGATTTAAATAATGAAATCGATGACTTAAATAGAGAAAAACAAGAAATCAACGAATGCTTCAACAGAAAACTAAGAGCCACGGTCGATTTTGAAGACGAAGTTTTTATAGCTGAGGAAAACTTTAGAAGTGAAATAGAGCAACAGAAGAACGAAATTTTAAATTTGAAATAGGAAAATTCGGATCTTTTAAAGCAAATGAATGATTTGTTGAATCAGGCTACGGAATTTAAAGAGGAAATAACAGCATTAAAAAATAGCGCGCAGATATTAATTGAAACGAAGGATGAAATGGTTTCTACAATAAGAATTCTAACTGAAGATAACGAGATATACATAGAAAAATACAAAGACGCACAAAAGCAGCTATTTCTGATGCAAAGCAACACCTCTAACAAACAGGAGCAAAATCAGCAAGAAATCCAACAAAAATATAACTCTGTGCGAAAAAATGTAGAGCTGGCAGAAAAAAAACACAAAAGAAATAACTAAAGCAGAGAAAAATAATATGCTCATAGTTGGAGATGGCTCTGTGAATAACCTTTACAAATTCTTGGAAAGGTTATCGTTGGTGGAGGTTTACAAAATGCAAAGGATGGAGCTAAGATAGACGCGACAGTATTTAACCGTTTACAACAGGTTGGAGTTAAGACGAATTTAATTATTTTTTCTATTCCTTTGTGGCAAAACAGATTAATTCTGAACAGGTTCATTGATCAAACAAATATTAGGCTTTTTGATTTGACTAAAAATAATAAAAAAGCATGTACTCTTATTAACTTAAACTCATTTTTGAATTCATCCTCCTTTACTTTTTACCAAAATAATCCTAAAAGCTTTGCAAAAATTAAAATCGCAGAAAAAGTCTCTACACTTATAGGAATTCATTTTTTAGACCCAAGAGCGACGCAAATACTTTAAAAATACAAAATTACAAAACTAAAAATAAGCTTTCACTTTTCCTGTTGAATATACAGTCTGCGCGAAATAAATTGGACGAATTTATTGTATTGCTTGAGGAACTAGGTATGCCATCTCTTGTTCTATTAACAGAACACTGGTTAAAGGAGGATGAAGTCTGATTCATTCCGCAATATAATGTGATGTCAAAATATTGTCGTGAAAATGGTTATGGGGGAACAATGATTCTGGCACATGAAACTTTTGGCGAAATTTTTCAAAAAACTGATATAGAAGAATATTTATCACATATTAAACCAAACGAATTCGAATTTTGTGTAATTCACATTAAAAAACTAAACGTTCACGTTATCTGCGTTTATCGACCACCCTCGGGAAACCCACTAGAGTTTTTTAATTCACTAGAACTTCTATTGTCACAATTTTCTCTTTCATCCAAAATAATATTAGCAGGCGACTTGAACATCGATTTTGAAGATAAAGATTCAAGATACACAAAATAACTGGTGGACTTACTTACCTGTTTTAATCTAAAGGTCTTTGTGAATGAGCCTACTAGAGAAACGAGCCATTCTCACACAATCCTAGATTATGTTT